TTGGAGAGTGAGTACCTATACTGGTCAGTACGTGAGTTGGGCTGCATTGGGCTGCAGCCTCGAGCCGGGCTACTAAGGTACAGTACGGTACCGTGGCTGTACTGCCTATGCTTATCAACAGGGAACAAAATCTGATACAAGAGTATCCGGCAAGCACCAAGCCGCCGCTGATGATCACTGGCGGCAGGCCAGTGCCACTCTTGAAACTTGAGAAGCTGCTGGTACCTTTGCTGCGCCCTCAGCTTCCGACGCCACTGAGTCAAGCTGAGTTCACTCAGCCAGGGAACTGTGTGCAGCGCGCCCTCCTTAGTCGAATTGCCTGACAAGGACCATGTCGATGCAGGCCACACTAGAGCTCACGAGGAGGATTTTCTCAGATCCAAGCAGCAGGGCTCGCATTGTACGACCCGCAATCTCGCAAGGCAGATTTCTTTAGCAGTCCGACGCTGCAGTCTGCCACCACGTTGCAGAGAACAAATTGGTGCGGCCAACAGCACGCATTCAGAGCACCATGCGTTGATCACTCACTCGCATCAGCTCAATCAGGGCTGTAACAGCTCCACAAGCTCCCAAACAATCTTCGATGGCTATAGAAGACATGAATGGGGAGGCATTCAAAGACTTCTTGAAGAGAAGGCGACGTGAAGATGGTCAGACAGAACTCCAGTTGGAGATTGATGTAAGTTCGAGCTACTTGAAGTTCCAATCCAGCCCACCATGAAACAAATTTGAGCTGAGACATACCGCTGGCAGTCCATGCATGTCAATAATCATTGTGGTAATGTGAGCTCAAAGACTGATTTGATCAGCTTATCATGCATCAACTGGATCATGAGAATACTTACCAATAATCCATTCAGCAAAGTGACCATTGTACAACAGCTTGCTATCCAAGTCAGATTTTTTAAGCAACTCCATGCGGCAAGTCTATCTAGCCACTTTCCTTGGGCCTATATTGCATTGATCCTTAAGTAGGACTTTGGTATCCAACTCCAAATTCATTGTTGCATGTACAAACGACCAGTTACCAAGAAACACTGCGATTCATGGAACAGCTTAAAGTACTCTGCAACATCTTCCTTCGCCTGTTCTTCCCACAGTGTACTTTTTGTTGAGCAAGTAGAAGCTAGTCAGCGCTCATCCTTGTCATAGCAGCCAGCAATCTATAAAAACTACGTCAAAAATCTACTTTCCAACTCCTGCCATGGCGTTTCGATCTCATTTTCCTGAAATGTAATATTTGCTGCTGAGAAATCTTCACGTGGCTGCTAACATCCAATTTGTACTCTGGCCTGCCGGCCCACATAGAAGGTTGCTAGCTCTAACAATGCTTCTGTCCGCTCGTGGCACACCCGCTATCGGAGCCGCGTCTCACGAAGGTGGTGGCTGCTTCAACTCTTTCTGTCGCTTGATATGAATCGCCTCATTCATCCTTTGCCGTGAATCGTGACCAGGCATCACGGGCTGCAACGAAAAAGTACCGTACATCGTCGCCCTTCTTCCCAGGGGCACGCATGGCGAAGAACTCGAAGGCTTTGACAGTCATGCAGTACTTGTCTGCCCGGCCTCTTCCCACCAAACGTCTCTGGAAGTCTTTTCCTTCCTCAAAGTACTTCTTCAACATCCTCAAGGCACTGATCCGCGAACAGTACTCGAGGAATGGCCACGCATCGTCAAAATCGATCGGGAACCGATTTCCTCCGTCATCGAACGCCTTCCAGAGGACGAGTGTCAGCAACTCATTCATCCGCGATGTATCCATCTCAGAAAAGGGTAGGGCAGCTGCGACGTACACAGGAGTTTTGAGTATTGGGCGTACGGCTTTCCGATATTCTCTTGAGGATGTTGGAGGCTCGCCTTCTTTAAGACTCTTCCTCGGAGGTCGAAGGCTTCCCTTCCTTCGCTGAGCGTCCGCCCATCTTGCATTAGGTACCAGCTGCCAACGAAGCTATGGACGAATCTGACGGCACCGGGAGCTTACCCGACAGATGCGCCCCTCAGTCGAGCGCCACGCCCAAGAGCTTCCCAACCAAGTCCGCGAGGCTTGATGGGATCGAAGAGCGCATGGTCATCGACGCCGGAGCCGGCGAGGAGGGCAAGCATTCACAACCGGTATTATTGCGCGCATCTTCCACTGGCGACTTTCAGAGCCGCAACACAATTCGTCCACTGCAGATTCGACGGACCAGGACTCATCTCCCAAGGACCCTGCCAACAACAACAGGCCGTTATTTTTGACGAGCTTCGTCAAGGCTCTAATCGAAGATACCATGTGGCATCTCGTGCCTGATGCATTCGATTTGAGGGTACTTTTCTGACGCAGCGCGCTCTCCTTCTCAGGCCCAAGCGGACGATTCTTCCCGCTCCGAGTCGGAGCCCACCTTGGTTTTCAAGAGACGAGGCACCAAGCGCAAGAAGGTGCGTACCTCGAACTGCCGCGCTCGCGCATTCGGTCTCTCAGCCTACAGCAGCGCCCCTGTTCAAGCACGCTCGCCTTGTTACTAGCTGATGCCGAGGTGCTGTCTGAATCTGGAGAACACACTGCGGGTCATTGACAGGTGAGCCGAAGTTTCGTTGCACTTCCTCAGAGGAGCTTACGCAAGACAGTTGAGCCGAAACCTCATCTCTTTTCAGAGGAGCTTACGCTAGATAGTCATGCAGAAGCCTCATCTCATCTGCTTAGAGAAGCATGCGCTAAGCAGGAGAGGATATGCACGCACTTGGTTGTTTGCAAGCGTCTGCTCCATCCATCTGAAGTGTAGGACAGGAAAGTTTCTTCGATGTAGGACTTCAAAGTCTCTCAGATGGGTTGATATCAATAAAGTTCTTCCAATTGTTTGGTGTCCTCTTCTGAATACCGTTTGGATGTTCTCTCACATTCTTGCACGTTGTCGTTTGCAGGACAAGCGGGGACGTTCTGAACGAGTATCGTGGCCACGTAAATAAGGTCAGTCTATTGACCTTTCGGACTGATCGCCTCATTGAATCTCATGAAAGACTTTTGTTTGAAGAGCCTCATTTGTCTGTTCTAAGTCTTTGTGGAGAGCTCGAGCTTGATTTCCGGAAGTGGACATGATGACCGTTTTATTGTCATCCTAGGCCCGTGCTTTGGCGCGGCTTTTGCGGACAAACACGACTGATCCACTCCTGACTCAGGGCCTTCCCTATATGCTTGCTGGAATTTAGCCTCCTCTGGATGCCTCGTCTCTGTGATGGAGATGCCTGCAAAGTGTCTTTTTCCTTTTCAGTCACTCTCCTTCAAGCACAAATTTGAAGAGCACGAAATCAGTCCCAACAAACGTCTCTTTCATGCAAACGGGTGATCCGACAAGCTATAAGCGCTGCCCTTGTCTGTTTCTGTTCCATGTCCTCCCACTTGCTAGTCAAGCACTCTGCTGGAAGCAATATCTCGTAGCTACGCTTAGGCACAGGTTCCCATCTGATTGTCTTGCCTCGTTTCTGCTTCTTCTGCCTCGTTTCGTGACAGCTTCTTCACATGTCGATGCCTACATTCGTATCCAACTTTGCCTGGTGTCTTTGCCCCGTCTTTCGCTCTTTTGCCTCGTTTCAAAACAGCTTTTTCACATGTTGAAGCTCACACTTCCTTTCAACTTTGCCTGGTATCTTGGCGTATATTGGTTCGTTGGCCTCGTTTCACGACAGCTTCTTTCCACCTTGCTCACTTTCTAAGCCAACTTTGCCTGTTATCTTGGCGCCTCTTGGTTCTTCTGCCTCGTTTTACAACAGCCTCTTCACACGTGTCAAGTCACTTCTGCCTGTGTCTTTGTTTTCGAGAAACATTTTAGCATGCACCTCGTTTTGCAGTCGTACAAAGTGGGCAACTGCTTCAGCAACGACGATGCACATGTGCTGAGCGGCTCAGAGGACGGGCAAGTCTTCGCCTGGACTTGGTGGAAGAAGACAAGAGAGCCTCCTTCAAAGCACATGCGATGACGGTAAGTCCCGATTGTCTCTGCTTTGGAGTTGCATTCTCTGCTGATAAGCTGCCTACTTTATGGCTGACAAACCCGGTCTACTCAGGTAGAATTTGTTGTGAAGTGAACGGACAAATGTTTCTTGAATTTGCAAAGCGAAAACAGTGAAAGTGAACACCATGGTGACTAGGTGCGTTGCTCGACTGGTCCATGAATGTGAATGTTTTGCCAATTACAAGGGAATTTACGTAGACAAGATTTCCCCGTGGTGCAGCCTCTGTGTCTAAGCTGCGAGAATGATGCGCAGGCTCTCTCGTCTCTGCCAGGTTTTGGAGACAGTGGTAGTTATCTCTGTTTGTTGTTTCATCAAAAAGTGCCCCCCCACCTTAAAGGAGGTCTACTGTATCTAGCGACCTCCCGTCACGGATTGCTCGTGGCTGTAACGAAATTCCCGTACAGGCGCGTTAATAAGTTTCTGTGCGTTTGCAGGTCACCGGCCTAGCATAACACGCGGAGCGGCCTTATCTTCTCACGTGCTCAATGGACGGCACCGCCAGAATGTGGAAGGCGTGATTACGGAAGGCATCTCAGTCTTCCTAGATCCTTTTCTCAGGGCGAGCTTCCTAGCAATAGTAGGTAATATGCAGAAGGTGAAGCCGCAGAGTTAGTAGTTGGCAATCTCTTGTACAGCAACAGCGAGCTAGTACTTCCGTAGAGTTTGCTTTAACGAAGAGCTGCGTTTTAACAGTGTGAGCAAAATCACATCTGGACGAAATTCCAAACTTGACGATAGTGGGATACTATCAAGTAGGGGAAATGATGCACAGCAGTTTAGACTGCGATGAGGAAAAGGGAACGGTGTGCTTGGAACTGGGAAGCACCAAACGAGCTTGACGCCAACTCCCAAACCCCCGAAACCTCTAGAAATGGTTGTCAGGAGAGAGAATTTTTCCAGGGGGACAGCGGAAGACAAACGGAAAGAGTGCACGATGAAAACCTCAAGATAGCCTGCGATGTGCGCATACAAGTTGGGTACACACCGATCAGCCTGCACAACATCCCTCCAGTCTTGGTGCATCGAGGTTAGCGGAGCATTCTTGCTTTCGTCCTTGTTTTTGGACTTGCGTACTCTGTCGAGACACTTGGACATTGTCTTTCAAAGTCCCCACTTAGCTAGAGGGTGCGGGCCTCTCATCGATTCGCGCAGAGCTTGATACAGAGTCCACCGATTACGTCAATGACTTTCTGGAAGGCGTTAGTGCAGACCAGAGCAAGCTAAGTCTCTCCTGCAAACTTATAAATTCCCGAACCCAGCGACATGACCAGAGGGTCTCGAAAGCGAAACACTAAGATAGATGGTATCAGGATTGCGTATCACTCAAGAACCTGAGGGAAGGGAACCTTTCACTTCTTTCCAATCTGATGGACCATCTTCTGCAGACTTGTCTCTCGGATAAGCGAGGAGGGTGCTGCCTGTTGTTTCCTCAGGGCAAAATCTGGCTGCTAGATGTCCATAGTGCCTCGCTCTTAACAGCTCTGGCAGTCTGACGAGGGGATGCCTTCTCCGACAAGGGCTTTGTATCTACGTTCAGGAATCAATTCAAGCAGATTGTCTTTGTGAGATTGCTTGCTATCAACCTTGCCTGCATCCCTATGCAGAGGCCAGTCCTTCCAGCTATGGCCGGCTGCTGAGGCGCTCTGTCATTACTTGGAGGCTAGATACGAAGCCTCTGGTGGCCTGCGAGGGAAGAGAGTTCTAGAGCTTGTTGCGGGGACTGGCTTGGTCGGCATCTTTGCTGCAAAGTTGGGAGCTTCTGTGACTCTGAGCGACCTTCCTGCTGTGTTGGAGAACTTGCGGGAGAATGTGGCGCTAAACCAGGGGAGGTTTAGAGGTAACAAAAAGAGCCATAGCGCAGCTGTCAGCGGTTGTACAGTGGATTTGGTAAGTGAGCAGCTTGAGCAGACAGGGGGTGCTTTGGTAGGAATGAAGCGGACAGATGTAAGAACGGTTTGCATCTTTGCACTGGCGACGCGTTAGCCAAAAGCACAGCCATGGAGCTCAACGGAGGCACACAGAGCTTGAAAGAGAGCTCTCAACATGTTCTAGAACCACTCTTGGAAAAGGCTTCGGGAGGGAATCACGGTATAGAAGTTGAGCCTCTTTCTTGGGGCGTGAGGCAGGACGTGGCTAGACTAGTCGAGCAAGGAGGAGCCTTTGATCTGGTCGTTGCTTCAGACGTTGTGTACTATGATACACTGTTCGAGCCTAGCTAGCATTTAGACAAGAAGTGGACATGGTTCAGACCTAGTTGGGACACCTTCCAGACAAGTTTCAGACAGGCTGGACGGTCTAAAGTCCGAGATTAACCCCAGACTACCTTCGGACAGGACCCAAGGAGTTCAGACAGACTCTGGACAAGGATGGGACAAAAGCCTTTCTCACAGTGCCTCTCTTGCAGACTCTCCGTTGGCTCAGCGGACAAAGAGTAGCCGAAGGTAGCTCAAGGCAACCAGCACCAAGCGAAAAGAAGAGCTTGAATCTGAGGTTGGTCTTAGGAGAGAAGATCCCGAAAGGGGTGCCTCGAGTAATATTGAAGGTGCGAGCAATAGCTGCATGCTAGGGGGTAAGCAGAAGATATTAATAGCACATTTGAGGCGCTGGAAGAAGGACGCAAAGTTCTTCAGACGAGCAAGCAAGTACTTTGACACTCAAGTACTCTACTCACATCCCCCTCCTGATGGAGCCAGAAAAGGTGTAGAGGTGTTTGTGCTGATTCATAAAAGTCGTCAGTGAGAAGCGGAGTGGGCCCATTGTGGACAGCCTCAGCGTTTGTTGCTCAGTTCACTTTCATGCATGCTCTTGAGGACCTTGCATGACTCAGAGGTGCACACACGCGATCATATGCAGTCCATATGTGCTTCTTAATCGCATCTTTCGAAGTGGACTGCCGGCCATGGAGCAATGCCATGGATTTAATGATATGTCGCGATTCACTAGAAAACGCTCGTAAACTATAGTGAGCTAGATTTGCTTCTGGTGAGATTTCTAAGTAGGCCGAGGCATCTAGATCAGCTATCGAAGCAGGTCTCGCCTGCTTCATGCGAAGCTCACAATAATGCATGGCGTGATGTGAGTTACGAGTAAATCATGACTCTTCGCCCAGCTAGCAATTGCATACCACTCGCAGAGTTTCACTTAAGACCTTGGTCCGTCTGCTGCCAGCTTTTCCCATCAGTTGTTGTTGCAAGGCTATCCAACGGTTCTTCTTCTTTCTTGTGTTGCAAAAACCCCTATATAACACCAAGTGAATCGCAGTTTTCCCATTTCAAGTTTTCGACGGGAGATTCACCATAATCTTATTCTAGGGCCAACTACTGCTGAATTGGGCCGAGCATCTGAAACGAAGCGTATACCTCTGGAGTACGACCAATGCTTTTGCAGGATTCCCTAGGTAGCCTAGTGGCAGATGCGATCACGTCCTACAGGTCAGGACTGCTGTACGGCATGCAAGTTATGATTATACGCCGTGGGCAGTCAAAAATCTAGATGTATAAAAAGGATGGGGCGTCTTCGATTGTCCTGGTCTCGCGACTCGCGGTCTGCATCCTGTTGCGAGTCTCCTGTTCAAGTTCCAACTTTTGACTAACAAGACCTGATTGCAGATTAAGGGATCGACCAAGGGCGAGCTTGCCCCTTTGTGTTGCAGATCGTCCAGACGGTGGCTTTGTCAGCAATAGTCAGATCGAACCCATATTGGTTGTCGAAGTTCCTTCCTGCCTCGTTCAGCTCTTTCTTATACGAGCGCCGGTTCTGGTCGAAGTACAGGTAGCTCGTTTCATTGTCCGGCACTGCAAGGCTCCTGAGTATGATCTTGCTGCCCACGTAGAGACGCTCGAGAATTGCCTCGACCTCCTCCGGCGAGCCGTAGGCGTTGGCTTTCTTGGATTCCTTCGGCGCCTCCAGAATCTTAAATTGCTCGAAGTCGTTCGCCCTTGCTCGATCCCAAGCCAGCCCCCTCGGCGGCAGCAAGTGGCCGCTCTGATCACAGAGAAACTTCTGCGTCTCGCTGTGCTTCAGGCCTATGACGGAGCCGTAGTGCAACTTTTCGTCGTCGAGCTGTTGCAGGTGGAGGTTCTCATACTCCGAAGAGGGCTGGGCTGCAGAGATGGCTCCTGGGGTTCCGTTCAGCCACCGGGTGATGTACACGGTACACATCTTCCCTCCTGAGCCCCGGTACTGGGTGCTCAAGCAGATGGGCGTCTTGGACGTCACGACTGCAGCAACGAAGCACAACAACTTCTATCCAATTGTGGGCGATCTTATGGAAATTAGCGAAGAATGAAACCGAGGCTGCTATGGCGCGCTTGCATAGACCGTGCGCCACAGCTACGTGGCAATCAAGTGGATGGGCGAAAACAGCTGGCTCTTGTGGTCATAATCGAGGTTCGCAAACCAGAACGGCTTGTGCCCGTAATTTAGAGTGCAATTAAGCAGCGAGAGAAAACAGAAGGAAGAGAACCGTTCGCCAACCAGATCTTCTTTGGAGAATCAGTTACCAGTGAAAATGATCCGGACCTTGAGCATGCCCAGTCGACAGAAAGAACCCATAAGTGGTGGTAATATGGTCCACTTGCAAAAGAAGGCGATTGGGGGTGGAACTCACGTCCAAGCCGACCGTCGTTCACGGCTGCCTCGTAGATCTCTCGCTTTCGGAGTTGTAGGTTTCTGTAGTCCTTTCCAAGCATACTGAGCTTGAGCTCGCCTGTGTCGGTATGGTTTGGGTCCAGGATGTTGCACACTCCCCACGGATACTCGCGGATCTGCGAAGCTTGCAAAAGATTGTTTAGATTGAGGACCGAGAACCGCTGAGATGTATTGGATCACATCAGCCCATCAGCAGCTTTCTCCAGCGAGAGATCCAGATTCGAAAAGCAGATGGAGCAAAAGTAAACACGTGACAAGGACCACTTGACGGCCTATCTCGAGAAGCACCCCGTACCGGGAGGGCCAGGCATGCCGAACCGTGGTTCCAAGTCTGTGCAAAGCTCTTCTTGGTACTGCAGAGTGAACCCGAACGGGCCCCAGGCCGATCGAGGTTTTGTAAACGGTCGGAGTGGAATGAGAGCATCGTGAGGGTTCATTTAGCGGAGCGTTAGTCGAGTTCAGCCTGCTCTGGCTTCAATCTGCACAACAGGTGCAATTCCGTATCTCTCTTACCGGCCAGTAGACTGCCGGATCTTCCTGCAGTCTGACGGGATCGTACACCTTGCTGGCCCCCACGAAGAAGACCCTAGGCGGTTCGTGAAAGCAGCTGATCTCGTTATCTTTAAGCTCCTTCAGCACTACCCGTCGAAAGCTCTCCACCTCACTTGGCTTCCTTGCGGCAGCCAAGTTTGATCTCGACGGTTTGCTCATCGTGTCAGCCTGCAGAATACAAGCCGATCGATGCGTTTATGTGTTGGCCACCGAGAGTATACAGGACGGCTGATACATTCCACTTGAACGAGACAGCAGAAAGCCATTGGTTTGAGCATATGCACTCAACGCTATCGAAAACTAGCTTTGATTTGGACGAAGAGCCATAAAGCTGCAGACACCAAGGTAAAGTTATTGTTGATCGGAGTGCCCTTTCTACACCGTTGTTCCACGTACCTTCCCCACAACCGGAATGAGGGGTGCTAGCTTGCTCAGCTGCTTCATGAACTCGACATCAATCGGCTTGATCCGATGGGGTGCGATGAAGTACAGAATACAAGCGACGCGTTCGTCCTCCTTCTCCACACCGTAGGGTTGGCCGGTGAATCGCTCCTGGTAGACGCGGTGGCAGGACAGCAAGAAGTCGGTCACTCTTGCAATGCTGCACAGAGACCGTACGATCGATTAATGCTGGGTTTCATTGGCAGCAGATGACGTCTTCAAAGCACCCACTTCACTGTCGAACGGCCACTAGATGAAGAAGGCAAGCACCGATGACAAGATCCCAAGGAGGGAGTCTGCGTAGAGTAAACTGTTGCAGGTTCCCCTGTTAAGCTGCCCTTAAGTGTTGGTAGATGGCCTAAGGTAAGACGCTACATCCGAGCTGCGAGGTGAGCATTGGGCAAGAGCACCACTTCCGGCAGCATCAGTAAGAGCATACTAGTTGGCAATCTGTTCATGGAAGCTGCTCTACTTCGCGCTCGGCACACTATCCCTCGACGACAATGCCTGTTGGGCCTCAAACGTCCACACTAGATCAATGTAGGCGCGTGTAGGTCACAATCACCTTCTGGAAACGTCTATGTCGTCTCCCCAGCCTGGAGTGTCTACCATTCGGTAGGTGATGTTCATTGTCTGGTCTGCATTTCTTGTTGCGAAGACACATGATTGGTCAATGGCCAAGGTGGGAGGCTTCAAGGAACCTTCCTCTGCAGATCCATCATCAGGCGCAACTCCTGCTGGCAGGACAGCTTCTCCCCCCGTCTCGCCTGAGGCAGCGTGGTCCGGCATGATCGGCCTGCCCCCGTTGTACGAAGAGAAGATGTTGTTGATGAATGTTGACTTCCCAAGCCCCGACTCTCCAGCGATCTGCAAGAGCACAGTCCGCTTTTTACCCGCAGGATTCAGCCAACAGCTGGTACTTAGTAGAAATGATTAACAGCCAGCATGATACGGCATGCTGGAGAAACGGACAAATGTGCAGATATTCAGCGTGTCTGTCAAAACACCTTCTTTTCCAGTGCTATAAGCAGATTGCAAATTCATCCAAGAGCAAGAAGGGTCTTTTGATTAGGCCATAGCTCTCATGGGTCCTCTTTTACTAACCTCTACATAAAAGCAACTAAAGTCGACTTCCACATTGCAGTCTTGATAAGCTTACCATAATTTTGAAGGAGTCTTCTACCAGCAGAATCGTAGGTGCGGGGGCACGCTCGATAGCAAATCTAGCCACGTCGATTGGCCGGTCTAACTGGGGCACTGGGGTAGGTGGCCTGCTGCTAGCCGGGGCAACTGCGAAGATCACCCGAGTTTCAACCACCTGAGCCAGTCTGCTTGGAAGCCCGCAGATCTTCCGTCAGGGTTTGATAACATTTGGTGCTTTCTGCTTTCCAAGGAAGCGCGCTCAGAGCACTTATATCCATCTGTGAGACTGTGTGCGAACGTCCTAAACTCAGGCAGTCCTAGCTGGCGCTTGTAGCTCACAGTCAACGCCATATGCATGTGCCTGCCCTATAGCCAATGATTGCGTTGCCCAGATGCATGATATGCTGCGAGGTGATATGCATCGACGCTCCCTCACGTAGACTCACCTGTCGGGTCTTGGGTATTGTCCGGGATGATTGGCGCCATGGCGCTCTTCGGTCGAAGTCAACCTGTTGCACCAATCTAGCAGCAACGTTGAATCTGGACTACTGGCCGCGGGCACCACATGCGTCAGAGCAGTAAGGATCGAAGGGAAGGCTGCGTGCAGCCAGCAAATGAGGAAGCAAGGGCATTGAAATCTACATTGGTCTAAGGACGTCGCGGAGCAATCTCGGACCCCAGTTGGCCTTTCCTGATGACAGCTTGCAAAGTCGCCTTTGGTAGGAACTTGCCTGCTGATGAACGTTGCGCGTGCAGCAAACTATTCAAGGTGGCAGCCCACTGCATGAGCCAATGCTGATCGCGCTTGTCGATCACTCGGATCGTACTGCTATATCTCTTATTGAAGTACAGCTACGGTACTCTGAGCTTCTTCCAAGCAACTTCCTGGTTTCAGGAAGGGGGAGAAAATTGGGACTTTAAGGTAATCAGACGACGAAGGTATAAGTCAAGTCGAGAAGGCGTTGATTTTACTCTCACTTTTACCGTCTGACGTTTGCACTTCCCCTTTCAACTCAGACGTAAAGCTAGCAGCCCCGCTAGCAGCTTGCTTGAAAGGAGCAGCAACACCGTCGTGTAATTTTGGTATACGAAGATGATCATACAGTTGCTGGGCCCTAGCCAATCTGCTGTCAGTACGGAAGTCCCGCAGTCACGATGTAAACCGTTAACCCGCGTCTGATGCTAGCGAGTATACAGCTGGTGCACCCGAGAGTCGTCCGATGAGACGGCAATGTCGTTTCAACGGCGTCGATAGCGCTCTGATGCAGACGAGTTGCGTCATGCAGCAGGTGCGACATGGGCCCGCGGTCTGACAGCTGGCACGTGAAGCTATTGCTTGACAGCAGACCTCTCGAGTAACTTTCAAAATCGGAGAGGCATTTGAGATTCTTAGGTAACAGCAAATATGTACAAGAGCCTGCTACTAAGTACTACCTGTAGCTACAGTAGCGGAGCAACCATGTACGGGACCGTGAAGTTGTCCAAGTTGGGTTTGACTGCAATATTTGAAACAGTCAAGGCTGTACCTTGGTACACTTATGTCGGGACGACGTGCCAGAGGCTCAAGAATGTGAAAGTCTAAATAGGGGCCGCAGCATTGCATGGAGTATGGGGCAGCATGTCGATGGTCCAAGAGAGACCGCTTGATCTCGCCTAGGCAGTCAACGTAAAGACTAAGAGATACTTAGAGCCTTCTGTCTGCCAATAATTCTCCGTCCGAGTCGAGGCCGCAAGCTTCAACCTCACACAGTATCGTGTCATTATGTTAAACGATCAGCAGATGGACGCCGTGGTGGAGTCGTCTCCAGCGAGTAGCATGGAGGGCAGCCCAAGCAACGCAGACGCTTGGCCCTCGAATCCCCACTCTTGGGCGAGCAGCGACCACTCTCGGGAGGACAATGATGTGGCTGCTGCTCAGGGAAGGCTGCAGCGCATCCTGGATCAGTTTAACATGCTGCACGGCTTGCCGGGACTGGCGGAGGAGGGTATTAACATCCCTGCTGTGGTGGTCGTCGGAGAGCAGTCCCACGGGAAGAGCACGGTGCTGTCCCGGATCTTGGGCATCAACCTGCCCGCCAAGAGCGGCATGTGTACGCGCATCCCACTCTTCGTCAAGCTGCGCGACAACAAGGCCGCCAGGGGGGGGCCCGATCAAATCATTTCCTTCGAATGGCAGGGCAGAGATGCACTCAGACATCACCCCAACATCTCCGAGCGTGACATTCCCGAGCTGGTCAATCGAGCAACCCGTGAGCTTGCAGGGTCGGACTCAGCCATCAGTGCTACGGCAGCGACGCTGACGGTCCTCAGGAGGGGCACGCCAGGTGGGTAGAGTGCGAAAGCACCACTGAACTGTCTGCCACTGCACTCCTGTTGGGCTCAGCCTTGCGCCACGTCTGAAAAGAAGCAAGATCTCTAAAGCACATCTTTGCCTAAAATCAGCTTTGTTGCTTACGAAGCACCGCCTGCTTGGTGTTGATCAGCTTGGTAGACGGAAATCCGAGGTTCTACAAAGAGGGGGCTGAAGGAGCATGACAAGAGTGAAAGCTACTTCTGTGGGCAGTCGATGCAAACAAGTTCAGAAACGAAGTTAAGAATTTCCCTGGCCTGCAGATCTCAATCTCATCGACTTGCCGGGTATGGTGGCCCTCGCTGGCCGCGGTGCTCCTGAGAGCATCTGCACCGACATCAAGAATCTCATCATCAAATATGCCGAAAAGAAGGAGAGCATCATGCTGGCAGTCATGCCTGCGGATAGCGACACTCAGATCCACCATTCGCTGGCCCTTGCACGGGAGCTAGACCCGAAAGGGGATCGCACGCTGGCAGTGCTCACCAAGTGTGACAAGGCAGCACCTGACGGTCTCCTCGAGAGAGTCGAGAAAAACGATGCAAGGCTTAGGCTTGGCTACGCCCTGCTAAGGTAAGCAACAGAGTGAAAGCCTTGCCAACGGCTGTCGTCCATACGGAAGCGCACAGATCGTTGTTGCATCTGGTGACAGCGTCATGTGTTGTGCCAGAGCTTTACTGGCGCCCTCCGCATTCCTGATACGAAGAGTCTTGCTTTTGCCAGGAACTTTCGCACCTGCCCGCTTCAGACGTTAAAACTCTTAATCATCTGACAGTTCTGCACTTCTGACGTCAAAGAGCTGTACTCCGTTGTATCCAACTCCGTTGCATCTATCCACTCGACTGGACTTCATCGACAAGAGTTTGACTTCATGATCATGATGTCGAGGTAGCCTTCTGTGGTCCTGCTCGTAGGAACCCGGAGATTCGTGAGGGCCGCCATATGGACTTCGCACAGGGCATCAAGGACGAGGAGACTTTCTTCAACAACCACGCCTCCACTTTGCAGCGCTTGCAAGCGCCCAACACTCTTGGTATACAAGCGCTCGTCAAGAGCTTGGTGAAGCTCCAGGAGAAGATCATCAACGAGCAGCTGCCGGAGATCCACCGTAGAATCCAGGAGGCTTTAGAACAACGGCGTGTGAGTCAATGACTGCCTGTCCAACTAGATGAGCTTCACCAGAAGTTCAGATTGTGCTCTATCCAGAGAATGTTGATTGCTTCCTAACAGGAGTCTTTACGAGGTCCCTGCCACTTGAGAAATCACCAGAGACCTCTTCGAAGCATCTCGTCTTTCATGTTTGAAGTTCTGCGGACAGCCAATTGCTGCCCTAATGGAAATTTGAAAGCGACACGTGCCTTTGTTGGAAGAAACTGCGAATCACCCTGCAGCGAGAGCGGTCCCTGCTGCCCCCGTTTGTGTCCAACAACGCGGACGCCATTAAGCAGCTATACGCCGTCACCACAAAACGAAGCAACAGGGTGGAGCGCCTCGTCCGTGACGACCTGTCTGACTACCCCGGCAACGAGGAGATGAAGCTGCTCAAGAAGTTCAGGCAGGAGTGCAACGATGCATTCGCGAAGGTGCTTCAACCTCTAGCTCGGTTTAAAGAGCATTTTCCCATATGAAGTCTTAAGTCAGAGACGTTTCGTCCATACGAGATCCATCTGCTTACAAAGTCTGCAGCATGGTGTGGACAGCTGCATCAACGTTCTGCTTACTATACTGACGGTGCTTCTTGATAGCGACGTCCCTCGAAAAGTGAAAAAAACATCTCATGCAAATTCGCCGGCCTGCAGGAAATTTTAGCCGACGTGGGTCCGTGCACGGGCATCCTGACGAGGGCAGGGGGCGAGAAGCTCCGCGACTTAGCCATGCAAGACCGCCCAATGGGTCTGCCGGGCATGGTGAAGAAGCTGCCGTTCAACAACATCTTCCGGCAGCTCCTAAGTGCGTGCGAGGCCAACTGCCAGAACCTGCTCACAAGGACGCGCGGCTTTGTGGAGACGATTGCCCGCCAGGTCTTGGCAGACAGCTTCGATTCGGCCACTACGTTCCCGGTGCTTCAGGAACGGCTGCTAGAGCTGCAAGTGGCGGTAAGGTTTTGCCTTGACCCCCACTTTGAACCGTTGGGCTGGCGGGCTACAGGCGGAAGCTGCTCGTTGCAAATCTTGCCATCATTATACTCTCTGAATGTTGCAGCCCTCTTTTGCTCTCAAAGGTTGAGACTATGTGTTTTCGAAAGGGGTTGTATCTAGGTTTGATCCTTTAGTCGGAAGTCATCTGATGTGGAACGTTAGGCTTCTGCTATATAGGACAGCAGGGACAAAGCAAAGGCCACGTCCACTGTATACTAGGACAACCAGGCTGCGTTCTTCTCTGAGAATCCGTTACACGGTACTTCGCGGATTGAGTGCCGGAAAGCCACGCTCGAAACATATTGCAGGCCTTGGAAACGGCTACAGAGCACTGCCGGGAGTTCATCTGTCGGATCATTGAGAAGGAACGGACCACTCCCAATGGCGGCTTCACCAACCACCCGCTGTATTCCGCCATCTTGGAGCGGCTCATGCTAGTGATCCACGAGAAAAGCACCGTGGAAGCCGGAGAGGGAGACCACGCGTCGCCTCTGCGATACTCTGACCTGCGGCTGCTCTCTGGCGACATCCAAGCGCACCTGGAGCAGCTGCGATTGAGCGGTTTGAACTTCGAAACAAAGGAGCTGCAGGTGAGTGAGCAGTTGACGAAACCTACGTTCCAGTCCTCACGCTCAACGCTTCAAGACCAGGCTCCTGGGCCTTTTGCAGTACTGGCTGCTATCAACGATGTCGAGGCCAATTGTCACATGTGCATTATGCTCCCCCTAATTCAAAAATGGCAAAAGCCAGTGGTAAATAGCATTTTTTTCCTACAACTTTCTCAACCGTAGACTTCTACTTCCTTCAGAATCAAGATTCAATGACGAAAATTGGGCGCCCGGTGCACCTCGTGAGCATACAAGCAAAGGTTCAAACCCGAGCAATCACTCGACGCCTGTCTTTTCTTTGTCAGGTGGAGCTCTTCGCGTACTGGTACATCGTCAGCAACCGCCTGATGGACGTTGTACCGATGGAGCTGTACTACGCCTTTAAGAACGCCCTGCTGACCGACTTTGACCGGGCGGTCATGACGACTGTAGCGACTGACCTGGAGGCTTTGAAACACATGATGCAGGTAAGCTAAGGGAGCCGTCCCTGGGCTCATTTTCCCGCAAATCCTATGTTTGGATCCCTACGTCCAGGCTGACGAGCTGCAGTGGATATGAATCGCAGGATGTCATGGCAAGCACTACCGATGGCCTCCATCAATACTCCAATATAAAGCGCTTGCTTCGCCCAGCTCTTGAATCATGCTGACTTCCCGAGCCGCTCTGTGGACTCAAGGGTTATCCGTTTGCTTGTCTTCAGGATGCGACCCTTGCGGACAAGCATGCCCGCATGACTGCAAGGATCAAGGACCTGACAACGGCCATGGAGGTTTTGAGGACCTAATACTTGTAGCCCACAATCACCCGTGCACCGGGACGGTGCAAGAAAAGAAACCCGTTCTTGTTTGCATCAAACTTTCACAAAGATTGGTCTACCGGACGCTGTACGTGAGAAGTGAAACCCGGGCGACTGCTCTTGAAGCTCCACGACCCCTCTACTCACACAGACATCACGATTATGCAAGGAGTTATTAAGCTGTAACATAAGATGCAGCTTAATGCATAGACAGCCTGCTGACAACATTGCATGCGTTTGAAAGCCTGAGCTGCCCGGGCATCAGGATCTCGTGGAATTGCATAAGTGGCATCGTCTTATTCTAACGTCATGTCTCAGATGTATGCACATGGACGTCCTCCAGCCGCAAAAGGAAACCTTGCGCATGTTTTATTGTGGGCTCAAAAACACCGTGGGCGTGTCTATATGGATTTGCAATCGCTGTACAAACGTCGATCAGGAGTCCACCAATCTATGTGCATCAAGTTTGACCCCATCTTGCTTATTCGTAAGCATCTCTGCGCTCTCGTATGCCGGGGTCCAAAATCCCGTCAGAAAACCGAGATTGCAAACAAGAACCAATCTTGCTGATTTGTCGATCGAAGTCGCTGCAGACTGGGCTCGCTTGCAAGACGGGTCCTTGCTCTGCCAAACCTGGCCTCGAGGAGTTGTTTGGTCAACACTGGTGTCATGCGCTTGAATCCTTCTGTTACTGAGCCGAAAGAATCAAGCTGGCAAGCGACTGTACTGTGAATAGAATCGACTCCTTTGACCGCGTATGTCCGAACGCCGTTGACGGCGACTGTCTGCTTCTCAGTAGAGTCGTTGACTCATTTTGCAAGCCCTTTCACTTCGGACAGCGGTGCAGCCCGATCAAGAGATAAGATGATTCTGCATGAATGATTGCAACAAGACAGAGATGCCTGAAGGTAGCATCGCATGCAGGTCACAATCTGAGAAAGTCACGCAACCCTGCATAGGAAGCAGGAATCAATCGGCTTCGTCTGTGACAAAGGCTACAGCCTTCTGCTCAACAAGACACCCATCATCTGAGCAAGACGTAGAACACCCTGTTGTCAACAAGTCTGCTTCGAAAATGTCGGCTGGGATGCGTTCTGAGTCGGGGAGGGTTTTCACTACCCTTACTCTGCTAGGCATCGGCTGTCTCCTGGCCATTGGTGCAGCATATTTTGCCACTGGAAGAGGCGCGAAGTCGTCGACAGTGGGAGTTCTACCGGCGATTGCAGCACAATGTGTGAACTCGGAGGGCACAGATCAGCGCCCGAACAGTGCAGACGAAGCGGACGCAACTTTCATTCATTATCTTGGCAGTTCTTGCCAAGCACTTGAGGGACTTGGAGTCCGGAACAACGAAGATTCTAAAGATACTGCAGGTGAATCCTTGGAATCTTGGCAGGTTGATGTCAAGAGTGAGGGGAGAGATTGACGTGCCTCGTAATCAATATTGGGCCAAATCTAAGGAGGCTTCGTACTGCGAATGCTACTCGATCTCTCAGTAAATTGAAATGGCATTGGTCCCAAATGCTCTGAACGTCAATAATGACAGTAGTAAGGTCGCTACACGGAAAGCAGGCTTCTTCTTGGGAGTCCCTCGACGCATTGTTTTGGTTGATTGCTTTGTGGCCCCCGCATCTGACGGTTGGTTATCAAGAAGGCTAAACAAGAGAACTATTTTCAGCATCCCGCCGAGATACGCCAAGCGGCCTACCACCTTTACGGCAAGCAGAGTGCAGCAGAAGAGGACCAGAAGACAGCGGGGACCGTTCACAGTCCGCGCTGGTCCTGCCGGTAAGCGGTCCTTACGTAGAACAAGCATCATGAAAGAGGTTCACTCCAAAACATATCGATCTCAACCTGGTCACAGACTGACGACGTATGTATCAGAAGCTTCCTCAATAAGGCGCTTCTACGTTGAAGTGAAAAATCTCGTGTCTGGTCGAGTCTATTATCATTGCCGCTGCTCGATAGCTCACTTTTTTTCGATAATTTTCTTGCTCAAAAGGTTAGCAGCAGTATATATGCCCAATTGTTGGTTGGCTCCCGAAGCGGCTATATACGACACATCTTCCTCGAGCATCGAGTTTAGGAGAGAGTCTCACAGCTGTATGTGTCACAGCCGTTCAACTTGAAACTTGAAAGTCGAGAGCTCTGACCTTGTTGCCGTTTGAGTTGCCAATCACAAGAATTCAAAGAGTCGCTTGATGTGGCCCCAGCATGGACAGGGCCTTCATGCTAAAGGCACACAAAATACGTGAACACCTGTTTGTCGCACGACGGCCACCTTGGTTGAGGTTTTCATCCGTCACCGAAGCGTTTCAGAAAGGATGAGGTGCGCGCCTTCGTCAAGATCGTTGTCAGGTTTGGGAACATTCAACGTGAAGCACACTTGTTTGCTGCAATCATGGTTGGGTCGACTTGACAAGGAAAATGTACCGGCAAATGTGCGAATGTGTAAGTCGAATATATATTTGAACCCTACTTCTCTCACAAATGGGCTATGACGTTCTATGTGAACGAGAGCCATCGGCTCCGGCACGCGGGATTGTGCTACAAGCGAGGCGTCCTTTTTCAAAACGTAACCCTCTCCGCCCTTTCGGATTTGAGCCTCGCCATCCTGTATTTGTGATCCAATGTCGCCTTGATCTGTTCCAGAGTTACCGTCGCTTGCAAGGTTTCCAGCTTGAGCTGTTTCGTTTTCTCTTTCGCCAGTGCCAATTCAAACCACTGCTTACTCATGCATCTGATCTCTGCTCTCTTTTCCTGTAATTGTACCTCGCGGTCGCTTGGGGCTCCTCTCTAAGGCTCGCGTGAGTAGCAAGACTCTGCACCGGTGGCCCTTCTACAACGATGTCTATTTCGACTTTGTGCACGGCGCAGAGTCGGGTGACCTCATCTATGTCTACCTTCCCAATCTCGTCTTCGTTACCGAATAACGCCATCTTTGCTTCCCGTCCTTGGAAGCAATCTCGATAAGCCAAGCACTGCCCCAACGCGGCCTTCCATTTCGAACAGTGCTTCACCTCGATCACGAACGCGTCTGTGAGAATGTCGACTCTCCATGCGAGCACTGGACCTCCGTCCGAGCTCCCAGTATGCTCGAAGCCAGAGAGTCTCGTACCACTTGCTCTCTTGGAATAGTGGGCTCCAGGGGTCTGACCAGCCCCGGGTAGTGCTTGTCGATGAGTCCCTTGTGTCGTTTAGCTGCACGCTGCAGGAACTCTAGCGTGCTGTTCTCTGCCAAGATGGTGAAATATGCTTGCTTCACGGCGATGAAGAAGTCTCGGACTATGGAGCCTCGCTTCGTTAGGGCAGAGACTGTAAATCTCTGCCCTCTCTCGAACGCTTCAGTGGTCATGCAATAGATGTTTGACGGACGTCCACCTGCGTCAACTGACTGATCAGCAGGAGCCCTACTTCTCGCCATGACATAGTCGACTCCTTCGATCTCTAAAGTCTCCTCTCTTTAGCTTCTTGACTCCACTTGCTGTAGTGCTGTAACCCAAGAACTTCCGAACGTCGTCGAAGTCGTTCGGGAAGTTGCTCTCGTCATCGTTGAGTCCCTTAACCAAGATTGTCGCAAGCTTTTGCCGGTTGCCCTCGAACCTCTCTCCCGCCACCTTCGGATGCGCCAACACAACCTCCACGTTCATCTTGTCCCCCTAACACGACCGAGCGCCCGGCTTTGGCTTGTCTTTCTGAGACACCGAAGCTTCCTTAAGCCTCCTTTCCTCTCCCTTTCAAGCACCCGAACCCACGCGAGACGGCTTGCAGTCGGCAGTGAACAACAAGAGACGGCCCTCCTGGAACGACCCAACTGTGCTACTCTTAGGTCCATGCATTTTGCTTTCTCTCTTTGGGCCACCGGCCTACTAATCGGGCAACGCGGCTCCAAAGCCAGCCTCCATCTCTCGACAGAGGAACGGCAGATTGTATTTGCCAAGGAAATATCGTGTCTCTAGTGGCTGGGACTGGACCACAACACGCTCCTTTTGCTCGGTTGCCGGCACCATCGATGGTGTGCTCACGTTGATCCGTTTGAGTTGCTCCATCCTGTACTCATGGTCATATGTTGCCTACTGCATCTTTAGCTTCTCTTGCTCAAGACCAAGCTTCATTTGATTCGCTAGCTCCATCTGCTTCGTTCTCTCCCGCTCGATCTCTAAGCTATTGTCGTGAGCATCTGACATCACGACTTCCATTGAGGTTGATAGTCTGACCCCCTTGCGCATATGGTACAAAATCTTCTCGTCGGTGAGGCTGGCTGGTGGCACAAAGATATCGATGTGCGTAGTATCAACGATTGTGAGCCGCGAGAGGTTTGCAACTGCTGTCCCTTCATACGACAATAGTGGACAGGATGTTTCAAACAAACGCACCGTGAGTTTCGTGGCCCCCAGAAATTTTCGGGCTGTACTTCAGATCGGACATGGGGTATGTCTCTCTCGCACTTGCACGGGACCACTTTGGTGTCTCGGGGAAGACTCTATACCGATGAGAGGCATCTGGGAAGATCACCGTCAAGAGGAGCCCAGGAAACCGGAGACTCTTCCGCATCGACGGCCGACAGGGTCGGGTCGAGCTCAAGAGAGAGTCTCTCGTGTATGTACGGGTCTCGAGTAGCAAACAGCAGGACGACATGCAATGCCACAAGAAGTATCTACTTGACAAATATCCCGGATCCAAAGTTGTCAAGGACATCGGCTCGGGGCTCAACTTCAAGAGGAAGGGACTTCTATCCCTTTTGGAACGAAGCGAGGAGGGACTGCTACGCCGAGTTGTGGTTGCCTCAAAAGACAGACTGTGTCGTTTCGGATTCGATCTCCTCACTGGTACTTCAACAGACACGGTGTCGAGCTCGTGGTTTGCGACAAGGCAGATAAGTCACCAGAGGCGGAGTTGGCGGAGGACGTGGCTCGCCGTCATTCAGGTTTTCGGTTGTCGATGGAACGGCAAGCGAAGATATGCCGGCAGACGCGCCCGTGACAAGAACCAGAAAAGTTCGCATGTTTTCAAACAAGGCACAGAAGAAGCTCTTGGACAAGTGGAGACACGCAGTCCGGTTCAGCTACAACAAAGCAGTATCTCTCATGAACGAAACCTCCTGCTACAATAAGATGCGGCTCAGGAACATGAGCACGCCTGCTGCAGTGAATCAAGAAGATCCATGGCTACTGGCAACACCAAATAACATACGTGCAGGTGCTGTTTTTGAAGCAGCAAAGAACATCAAGGCTGCTTTTACCAATAAGGCCAGAAGCAACATCGAGAACTTCAAGATAGGCAAACAAGAGCAGGAAGAAAGAAGATAGATGTGGCTGGACAATCAACGTCCCAAAGACTGCTTTGCGAGTAAAAGAAGACCGCCGCTTGCTGATATATCGAGACTCCTGCCCCTGGATTTTTGAGACTCTGAGCAGGATCGGGCCACTAACAAAGGACTGCAAGATTCACTTCGACGGGGTGCAGTACTTCCTCATAGTACCATACAAGAGATACAGGGTTTCTCCGGCACAGAAGGGGTCATCGCACTAGACCCTGGAGTGAGGACGTTCCAAATCGTTTAGTACACACCGGAGGGGCGTTGCTACGAGTTAGGCAGGTCGTGCTGTAGGAAGCTCGAGGCTCTTTGTATCCATCTTGACGGGCTAATATCGCAGGAGAGCACCACACCAAAGAAGCTGAGGTGGAAGAAGTGGGCACTGAAGGTACGGATGAAAAAGCTAAGGCGGCGGTTACAGATGCATTACAAGACAGCCGAGTTCCTGACAAGAACCGGGGACGTCATTCTCCTACCCACGTTCAAGACGAGTGACATGATACGAAGAACAAACAGGAGATTGCGCAGCAAGACAGTTCGCAATCTTTCGCTCCTTTCACACTACAAGTTCAAACAGCGGCTAATAGCCAAGGCCGTTGTACAGGGGGTGAAGGTGCTACAGGTCAGCGAACACTACACGAGCAAGACGTGTGGGAGGTGCGGGTCGATACACGAGACATTGGGAAGGAGAAGGGTGTTTGAGTGTCCGAGTTGTGGTGTAGTGCTAGACCGGAATTGCAACGGTGCTCGCAACGTGCTACTTAGAGCCATGCGGGAAGAGACCCCCTCTAGCGGGGGCAATGCGAGATGGAGCCACGGTAGATATATCGTGCTTAGCCTGGACTAACAGATGACCTAAGTGTCTAGGTTTGTCCAGTGATTGATCCATTGGTTGTCCTTGATATCTCCCATGTTTTGAAAGGGCTGCTCGGCCTTTCTGTCGTCATCAACCTCCAACATGTGCAGCAGCTCAAAGAACAACGATTCCTTGAAAGAAGCCTTGTGCTCCTTGTACTGTCTCCCCAGATTTGTGACGTCTGCCCTAAAACCTCAGCTATAAAGCGGCAATACGACCAGAGAACGAAGCGGAAACTCTGTCGCCTATGCAGCAGCCATGGAAACCCTGGAAGCGCCCTCTTGCAGAAACCAGAGTTCTGTGTTATATGCTGAGTTTCGCTTCCCTTCCCCTTTAGGTGCCAGCCC